CCCCCGCGGTCCCTGCGCGCGCCCGGCGTCCTGAGCGCACCTGGGCGCGCAATCGACTTCAAGCGGAGCAAGGAATCGCTGAAACTTTCCGTGTGTCCGTCCACGCGCTCTTTGAAATCCGCTGTGAACTTAACACTCACTCAGACCGGCCTCTGCCCTGGCCCCAGCCCTGGCTCCCCTCCCTCCGGGCCTCCCCCAAACCCGAGGGGCCCCCCACCCCGAGAACAGTGGCTGCCATGTTGGCGGTTGTCAAAGCGGAGCCCTGGACCAGCCGCTGCCGTGCCTGAGAATTTGCGAGAATGACTGGCCTCCAGCCCAGCCCGGAGAATGAGAGACCCGGGTGTGGGGCCCTCTGAAACCACAGAACCCCGAGGCCAGTGTGAGGGAAAACGGGGGACGGGACTGGAGAGCAGAGAGGACGCGGCTCGCTTGTCAGACTTCCTCTTCACTGCGGGCGAATGCCCGGCGTCCACGATGAACCTCTGGGCCAGTTCCAGCCCGCGGCACTTAGCACATGCCCAAGAGTGGGCCACCATCGCCGCCACCTAGTTCTAGAACTTCCTGTGACCCCAAAAGGGGACGCTGTCAGGAGGAGCTGAGGGAGGGCACTGTGGACCCAAGTGCACCTGCCCGGCCCTACCGACGGGCCCCTGGGGCGGGCACCAGCTGTGGCGTGGCCACGCGGGCACCACGCCCCGTGGCGCCCTCCCGCTTCCCCGCTACCAGCTCACGCGTGCTCACGGAGGTGGGGTCACGCGGGGACCTCAAGGAGCCGAAGCAAAAAGCGGGGCTCGGCGCCTCACCCCGCACACGCCGCGGGCAGCAGCCGGCGGGGGCACCAGCTGGCCCCGAGAGGCGGGGGCACCCACGGCCCCGTCACCTTTGACCTTTTGTCGCCACGCAGGGCCTTCCTGCAGATGCTCTTCCCCGAGAAGCTGGACGGGGACAAGAAGGGCCGCCCCACCACGGCGGGGTCCAAGATCAAGGTGGGCCGGCTTCGCGGCCCCGGGCGCGGCACCCTCTGTCCTGCGGACCGTCCCCTCCCGCGCCAGGGCTGGGCTTGAACCAGATCCACTGATGACCCTCGGGTCTCCCTCAACCCGGCATGAGCCATCACCCCGAAATAACGTCTCCTCTGCCTCCGTGAGGCAGCATAAAGCACGCCCTGCGGGGCCCGCTGCGGAGGCCGGAGTCTCGCTCTCGCCTGCCCCCGTGGCCCCCCTCCCCGACGCCGCAGCCGAGGGACAGGTCCCCAGTCCGGGGCTGGCCTCGCGGGGCCTCTGCCTGCTGTCTGCCCTGCGCACGGGCTCGGACGCCCGTCAGCAGACACTGCGCCTGCTGTGAGCTGGCCAAGGGGCGAGCTCAGAAGAGAGAGCCCGGTGGGCACTCCGGGCGCACCCCCCGGCGGGGGCAGGGGCCCCGAGCCCCACGGCCCACCAGTGCCACCTCCCCTCCCCCGCTGTGCCTGTTTCTCTGGAGCCGGAGAGAGGGTCCGTGGGCGCCTTCTCCGAGCCCCATCGCTGCCGCTTCTCTGCCTCAGAAACAAGCCAATGACCTGGTGGCCACGCTGAAGAAGTGCACCCCCCATTATATCCGCTGCATCAAGCCCAACGAGACCAAGAAGCCCCGCGACTGGGAGGAGAGCAGGTGACCCTCCCCGGGCTGGCCGGGCCACGCCGCCCCCAGACTGCCCCTGCGAAGCCTGCCAGGGTCACTTCACCTGTCCAGGACCGGCCCAGGCTGACTCCGAGGACCAGCACCAAGCCCATCAGGGTTCTGGGGTCACACCCCTCAAGGCCAAGGGCGCCCACCCCCAGACTAACTGTGGAGTGGCCAGGGGCTAGCACAGTCCCCTCACTCCCCACTCTGAGAAGTGGCCTTGACCAGGCCCCTAGGCTGGCCTCTAGGACCGCAAGGCCCCCCTCCCAGACCTGCACCCCCAAACGGCCTCCAGCAGGAATCCAGACCCCCCAGCCTCCTTTCCAGCCCCCTCGGCAGCACCCAGCCTCCCCTGGGCCCCCCGGGCACTCAGGCCGCCTCTCCCCAGGGTCAAGCACCAGGTGGAGTACCTGGGCCTGAAGGAGAACATCAGGGTGCGCCGGGCTGGCTTCGCCTACCGCCGCCAGTTCTCCAAGTTCCTGCAGAGGTGAGGCGCCCCGCC